TGTTAGTGATGACGTGTTGTACGATAATATTATTCGTTATGATATGAGAAAATATATTTTACCTGGGTAATAAAAATATAAGGTACCTACCAATAGGTTTGAGATTATTTTCAATTTTTTATATGTGAATTATTGTTACTAAATACTAAAATTTAATTGAGTATTGGTCATATAGCATAATATGATATATGCATAAAAAAGAATGTATATGTCCTCAAAGTAAATAAAGTAGGTATAATTCATAATCTGTATGCATATAACTTATAACTTATAAGTATAAGTATTAAAATCTAATTAATCTTCGTAGATTTCCTATAACTGTCAATTGGTTATTAAATAATTATTGACTTATATATGTTTCCTCTATACCGATAAACGCTTAACTTATAACTATTTTATAATTTATAATTTATTTTATTTTAATTTTTATCTATAATTAAACATTATAGATACCAGAAGTACCTAGATAGGTACCTAATAATTATTCTATAAGGTTTTATTTAAATTTGGTTTACTGCAGTGTGTAACAGAAAGATATGACAGAATTTTTTATGTTTTTATATGTTTCATTTGTCATATCTTTCTGTTACACCCTGTATTTGAGTGACATTTTACAAATACCTATGCAAGCATTATAATTAAATAATTAATAAATTACATCAATATTCGGTGTAACTAATAAACGTTTGTAGCACCATTTGGCATTTACACCAAATCCTTGTAAAAAAACTTTATCATGTACTTAATGTAAATTGCGGTGAATAGTCTGCAAAAATATAGTCCAGGCACCAGGGTAAAAAAGCGTGTGGCTTAAATATTATAATAATTCTAGATTATACTATACATATTATAAAATAATATAAAAAATAATTTATTTATAAAAAAATGTCTCTATATAATAAAATTATTAGATTTTTATGTAAAAAAATCGATTTAATTATTTATTCAAAAACAACATTCATATATATAATGATAACAATTTATAGTATTTAACTATATTGCATATGCTACATATGCTCCATCAGAGTTCAAATTTCAAATGTATAGCGTACTAATATACAGTTATACAATAAAATATCTATAAACAGGCATGCAGTCCTAAAGTTATTTGTGAGTAATGAGTATGCTACATATGTGGCAGCTTTTGTCATCAACCCAGGCCCCCGTAGCCACGGTGGGAAAGGGCGTTGCCCCCTTAAAAATATTAGATAGACATTGTTTTATATATAACGCCCCCCTAAAGTTTGCTTTGCCCCACCAGAAAATTTGGTCTGGTTACGGCCTGCGTCAACCCCTCCACCTCCACCTCCTTTCATTTATATAAATTAATAACATATAATTTGTTATTATTTTATTAAGTTGAATTTAAATTATAATAACTTTAACAATGTAATTAATATTATTATAAAGTATATTTATTTACCTAATACATAATATAATAAAAGTTCTGTCAGCTAGTTTAAAACAATTTTTGTGAAGTGGGGATACGCATCTTTTTCAGCGCATACTTCCGGTCTCAAGTTATTTTCTTTAGTACCTATG